ATATCGAGGTCCTACCCACCGACTTTACATACCTCTTCCATCAAATATTGTCACCCTGGACCAATTATCATGAGCAGCCTTTTTCTCTCCCTCTACTTTTATTTGTGCCCTAACACAGACGCTTGCTGACTGACGTATAGGACCTGTTGTGAGATCTCTACTTACTGCTATTTGATGTCTCTTTTCTCCCATTCTTTTGTGTTTACACATCAGTCCCTGTTAGTCCTAGCCCCTGGAACACATGCAAGTGAACAAATGTAAGGAGGGTTAGGAGAAAGGAATTATGTCCGCGTAAGTAGGCATGAAAGATGGGCATCAAAAACAGCAGAAAACTGAAGCAAGTAGTAGAAGGCGGGTGAGAACAAAATGAATGATGAGAATGAGTGTTCCCGATTGCTAAGCCATTCCCTTTCCCAGCGAGTTAGAACGAAAAAGTCTCTTTTGTTAATTTTTATTAAATAATTTTGGGTTAGATTTTTGGTGGTAAAATGCTCTCGAAGATTGCACACGAAAAATTGTAGTCTAAAAAAAGGCAGTGTACCGCCACTCAATGGAGACATCGAGTTTTGTAAAACGGAGGTTCTCGCCGGAATCCTCTGTATTCAGTGTCATATCGGGGCGTTGCGAATGCTCAAGGCGATGGTGAACGGCTGATCGCAGCTTTATTTGTCACTTTGTCACTTGATACTGATGTTGGTCGATTGCTCTACCACCACGGCAACAAAAACAACAGCAAAGTCTCCTCGTGTCATCTGCACTTGATCAACATTTTATCAACATAAAAGCAACGAAGGAGAGGTGTATGCTGCGAATGGGGGAGTTGGTAATGCACATTAACCGAAAAGCAGCCAATGATGTCAACATTTGGCAAATACCCTAATCCCCTCGTCTGTAGATAGGATATTAGCAAATGAAGCGACACTGGCTGTAGATTATGTAAAATAAAATCAGTTGCTGAACTGTCCAGACATCTATTTGTTAAACACATGATACCAGCTTCATTTCTCCTCAAGTTGGATGATTTTAATGCAGACACGACTAGGCAGTTCTGAAGTGTAAATACCCTAGTATGGAGGAATGAAAT